TTGTCTTATTTCGAAATTGCCCAAGGCGAAATCTCACTTGACCGAAACGTTCGCCACACGCCTGGTGCACTACTGATTGATTGGCCGATGCTGCATACTAGCGCGAGCGCGGGTGCGTGTGCACAAACTCACTCTATTTTTAGATCGATTCACCTCAACCAACCAGCAATGAACAATCCACTCTGATTGATTCGTTAACCGCCTGGCTGCCCTGTGCAATCACTTTCGGATGACATGTAACGCAACACTGGCCTATACCTTCGGCTTTACAGATTGTTTGCGTTTGCTCATTTGCTCACCGGCCCACAGACCGATCGTGTGTGTGTGTGTATGTGTGTGTGTGTGTGTGTGTGTGTGTGTGTGTGTGTGTGCNTTGGAAATACGCGAACGGCCTTACTCGCTGAGTGATTATTTACTTGGTAAACTCGGGCACCGCTCTCAGTTTCAATACTGCGGATAAAATCGGCTACTAAAATTCACTATAAATTGTTGTGTAGATTTAACGAAGCCAACTTGACACAGTTAGCCAATACTGAACGGGGCTGATAGTTACAGAACGACACATCTACTTCCTTTCGGTTGATGGTCGAAATCAGAACAGTCCGTTTTTTATCGTGTTTTACTGTTGGCCGGTAAGCAATTCCGTCTTGAATGATCTCTAGACAAATCGAAACCCGTATATAACGGCGGTTGATAACATGTAATTCAGGCCATCCATTCCTTTTCATTCATCCCATAGTGTATTCTATGTGGACAATAAATATTTTGAGCCATTATGATAATTAGTCAAATGAACTCAAGAATGCACTTTAATTGTCTAAATTAGGGGCGAATTTACAACAAGTCATCCTGGTGCTTTGGCATAAGGTCACGTTACACAGTGGGTAGAAAGCTCTACCTTTAGTAGTACAGTTAATTTATTGTCATGCTTCCATTAATTTCCTTCAATAAATAAACCGCAAAATCAGTGGCCTTTTTCCTGCTTCTCGTTGACGGTAGACTTCGACAGATGACTACAAGTGTCATTGTGTCCACCGCAAATGTTACCTTGAACATGGACTTGTTGGTAAAAACAGTAAAGGCATCATGAGTGAGCTCGTCTCAATTACAAATGGCGAATGACCGTTTCATCAAGTGTGCTATTGTCTACTGTCAACATCATGTGATTAAACGCTTGGGATTGGAGTATCGGAGTGACCTTCAGTTGATAGCAACGTTTTCCGTTCAGGCTGGTTTATCGATCGATCGGCCGATGCTGTCTGCTACCACACGCGCACACAAGCACTTACGACTTACGACATATGAACTCACTCTATTATAACAAAGATGCGCTCCAGACAATCCGATGTTAGGTTACGATCGTTGTGTATTGGTAGATCAATCAAATAAGGTGTTCATTTTGTTAGATNTAAGAATTACTGCCACTTTTGAGTGGGGGTGGATTGGGCTTCACAGCAGTTCGAAAGGCCAATAACTCCTGCAGACAGCAGACAAATGCGCAGCTGGTCACAATCGGACTCATGCGGTGACACAGCAAAAGTTCTTAATGTGCTTGAGGATCAGAGAGTGATTTATATCAGAGTGAAGGAAGTTGTGGTTCGTCACCTCGGGGTTACACGTGACAGTTTCTGAAATACTGTGATGATTCACGCTTCCAACTTAACGCCAGCAAAGTACCTACGCGTTACAGCTTCTGGACAACGAACCACAAGCCAATCATGCCGACCATTCGGAATTCGTGAGGTTCAGACAGAAACTGTACGACGCCAATAATACAAGCACGTGTTTGGCATATACCTGAATAAGCAATAGATTTCTTTTGTACACTTTATTTAATCCCCTTGATTTCATCCAATAAATGAACTACTACTCCTTTGTCTTTTTACTTGAGTCTCGGTTACGTGGGATACTGTTGTGGAAATATCAGTGTGATTCAGTGCTTNCAGTGCTTCAGTGGCGTCCGTGATTCCTAATCCGTGATCCCCGTACGCACTTCACCCATTACAGCTAAGCATTAGCCAAATTGTGTTAAGTTGAACGAAAGCGGTGAGAATGATAGGTCCGCCAGAGACGCAACAACAGCGATGTGTGCTGTCTTTTCATAATGCACTTTCTCAATTCTACCCTGAGATAGACGTGGCATTTTTCCCGTTTGCTCTAGTCAAGGATTTGGAAAAGGGATTCACCCAGCTCCGTGGTTCACCAAAATTAAAAAAACAGCCCACCGGTCAATGGATGTACATTGTGGCTTATTACGATAGCGAAATTTCATTTTACATATTTTTAGTCGCTGTCAAGGGCCTTAGCGCAGACGCAGAGTGATACTACTTATCTGGTCTTGGTCATCACACCAAGAGCAAGGGGCAGGTTACAATAAGGACTAAGTTGAAATGGAGGTTATGTAACTGCAAATCCACTGGAGGAAAAACATACACCTCTCTCCGCTGATCATTATTAAATGTTTTCGTCAGTGCGTGAGGTCTACGTTTGTATTTGACTTGCGGAAGTCGGTTTACGAAAGATCTCATGCTGGTTGATTAAGTTCCCACACGGATACTATGGTTATAAGCATCATTTGCTTGCATCACATCATACGAGCAAGACATATCAATAATTAATGTGAAGTCTCATAAAACTGAGCGTATGTCTATAGTCACTCTGATTGTAGGAAGAAAAAGAGCAATCCACGAGGACATTTTCCGTTCATATTTTCTTCATAATCAACTCTGACTCCAAGTGCGATATTTCTTTGTTCTACTTCTACTTGTTTTACTGAGCACGGTTTTCCGCTTATGTGTATATATAGGCTGGATCCTATCTCAATCCACGCAACACGTATGACATGCTTTCGCTTTGCTACTTCATTTATTTGTTTGTATTGTTTAGCGTCACCTCGGCACATATTCGGTACTATCTAGTATCACGATTCGCCAAAAAACGTCAACAAACACCACGAGTGTTTTTGTCGACCTCGGGCAACGAGACACTAGAATGTCACGCGCAATTTAAGATTCGTAAGAATACTTATCGGTAAGACGTCAACACCAGTTAGCCTCATTCGTGAGCCCGCAACGTCCACCTGGTAAGTTCAATCCAATTCGGTTTGCACTTGTTTCCCACGGTTCACTTTCATATGCACGATATGATTATTTATCGCAATTGTACGATGTCCGACGAGCGTCCACCAGTAGAAGACAGGGAACTGGACCTATTGGCTATTAGTTTTAAGCCAGTAGCCTTCATACCTCATGACCCTCAGGTGTGGTTTGCTGCGTTAGAAACGCAGTTTATCGCCCGTAACGTGCGGAGCCAGCGCTCCAAATACGTTTACTCAGTGGAGGCGATCCCTGGCGACCGAATGTCCGCCATTAGGAATATTATCCTTAAACCGCCGGAGGAGAACGTGTTCGACGTTCTGAAGGCTGCTATCCTTCAGTTCTACACCCCCTCTAATGAGGAACGGTTACGCCAGTTGCTGGCTCGTCACCCGATTGGTGACACGATGCCAAGCAGGCATCTAGCGCGTATATGCACGTTAGCCGACCCAGCGGCACGACCTCGCCGACTGGCACTGGACAAATTCGCTTTTGCTAAGAGTGAGTTCGAAACGTTACCTTCAAAAGGTATCGTACGTCTTTCTCATAGTCCATGAGCCTCTCCTCTACACATGGTTCTTAAAAAAGACAGCATTAGCTGGCGACCATGAGGCTACCATCGGTCACTTAACGCAGTGACTCGTTTCGATAGCTGTCCCATCCCACATATACACGACATTACGGCTTCACTTCATGGCACGACTATTTTTTCTAAGATCGATCTGGTACGAGC